TTATGCTACCAAAATTAGTGTGCACTGTAAGTTGCCTACAGCAATTGTTCCTGTTTATTCTTGCTGGAGGCTGCCATTTTGCTGAAGCCCCAAAACAGCAGTAAATTCTAAAGTAAAACTAAATCAATGTAACTGTTTAAAAAACAAATAGTTACATTCCTGGAATGCCAGGATTACTGTCACATTTGCTTGCGTCCTCAAACTGTCAAACCATCAAATGGCTGGTTTGGCAGTTGCAGATCAAGCAGAATCAGCTTCCCTGGCTGTAAAGGCGAGGAGAGTTTAATTCCGGTTTAAGGCTGTGAGCAGATAGGCCTCTACAGATCTAGCAGTGCCTAGAAATGGAGAGCAACTGAGCATGTGCAGAGCAGAGGGAGCCAGTGTATTACTGGATTTTACACAGTATAGACATTTATTTTTAACGTTTTACATAGCTATACCTGCAAAAGGGGCCAGCCTGACGTGCTCTAGCAAGACTTAATTTTCCGACTAAAGTTCCACTTTAAGGCTTGATGAACACTAACATCTGATGGCACTAAAGCAGGCTTTTTTTGAAGGGGGCTGTTTCCCCTTGAAATGAGTTGGACATATTAAAATGGTCTTAACCATTAAATGTTTCAAAAAGTGTTTCAAGTGAGGTGAATTTACCATCTGCCAACACTGCCTTTGTCACTGTCAGAGAGGTAGCAGCCTAGGACCAGAACAAGTCCACCTATACTCTATTTCTAACACGGATCTGTTCTTTGAAGGAAAAGTCACTTAATGGTAGATCCATTAGAACCAAATTTCATTTCTATGTGTCCAGCACTATCATATACACATGGAAGATCCGGTTTAATCTGCTGTTTCAGTTTTCCTGCCACATCCCCATATCTGTTGCCTGCTGATATTAGAAGGCAAAAAAAGTCAGTGATAACGGTAGACACACCCAACTCCCAGAGACCACTTATATACTACTGCTAAGATTTAAAAAGAATGGGAAAGAACACTTTTTGCAACTGAGCTGGTGTAGCTAAGTTTGGTATTAATGCATACAATTCAACCAAAAACTTTTTAATTTAGTTTTAGATATAGATCTATCTGTCAGGTTTTATTGCCATCTTTGTTTCTGTTGGGGTGATTTGCTCTTATCTCCTGTCAGGACAGGAAGTAGTAGGAAATCTCTGCAATGGAGACACAAACAGATTTTTAACAGAGTGTAGAGGGGTTAGAATTTCTGACAATGTTTTTATTGCCATCTATATCTTTCTGTTCTGGTGAAGGGCCAGAAAGTGAAGCAAATCCCCACAATAGAGTCACAGACTGACCAACATTTTTCATCAATTTTGACACTATCCAAAACAACAAAAAACTGAGCTAAGCTGAACTCCAGCCCTTCCTTTAGTCTTGCACAGTTATATGGAAATTGCTTACTCTGATTTCATTGTACACTGTGTCCTCTTTGCAATGTGCATTAGAAGCTTCAGCAAGCCAGGTAGAGTCTGCCTCATTTCCTAGCTGAAAGATGTCCAGCATCATCTAGCTTTTTCCTTCCCAGCCTCTCTGTTTCTGACCTGCCGCTTTCATTCATTGGATTTCAGTCCTTTAAAACATGGAGGCTCAGCATACACTCCTTTTAGTCTGACATCCACTCATAAAGGCATTTTGATATTTATTTAACTCCTCCCAAGAGCCAACCCACCACTTAAGGTTCTTAAGAAGAGTACTGACTGACTCACTATGCTAAAAAAAAAAAAAAAAAAAAAGAGTATAGAGGCAGGAAACTACTGTAGGTGCAGCATCCTGCTGACCCCTCCCACTAGCCATGATTTGCCTGCATTGCCTACCAGGGCAAATAAAATATAAGCAGATTAAACTTCAGCTTTAAGCACTTGTAACAGCATATGTAGATCCTGGAAGGCTGATGCCCAAATGGTACTTATAGAGCCTGATATGTATGCATTCACCAGAGGATATTTATAGAGTGTCACAAGGTGCTGCCAGTTCAAAATACACTATATTGCCAAAAGTATTTGGACGCCTGCCTTTTAGCGCACAGGAACTTTAATGTCATCCCAGTCTTAGTCCGTAGGGTTCAATATTGAGTTGGCCCACCCTTTGCAACTATACCGGCTTCAACTCTTCTGGGAAGGCTGTCCACAAGGTTTAGGAGTGTGTCTATGGGAATGTTTGACCATTCTTCCAGCAGCACATTTGTGAGGTCAGGCACTAATGTCAGATGAGAAGGCCGGGCTCGTAATATCTGCTCTAATTCATCCCAAAGGTGTTCTGTCGGGTGGAGGTCAGGACTCTGTGCAGGCCAGTCAAGTTCCTCCACCCCAAAGTTACTCATCCATGTCTTTATGAACCTTATTTTGTGCACTGGTGCGCAGTCATGTAAGAACATAAGTTGGGAGCATGAAATTGTCCAAAATGTCTTGGTATGCTGATGCCTTAAGAGTTCCCTTCACTAGACCTAAGGGGCCAAGCCCAACCCCTGAAAAACAATCAGACACCATAATCTCTCCTCCACCAAACTTTACAGTTGGCACAATGCAGGCAGGCAAGTACTGTTCTCCTGACAACCGCCAAACTCAGACACAATAAACGGATTGCCATACAGAAAAGCGTGATTTTTCACTCCAGAGAACACGTCTCTACTGCTCAAGAGTCCAGTGGCAGCGTGCTTTGTATTGCACTTGGTAATGTAAGGCTAAGATGCAGCTGGAATGGAAATCCATTCCATGAAGCTCTCTATGCACTGTTGTGCTAATCTGAAGGCCACACAAAGTTTGAAGGTCTTTGGCTATTGACTCTGCAGGCAGTTGTTGACTTCTGCGCACTGTGTACTTCAGCATGCACTGACTGTGCTCTGTCATTTTACATGACCTACCACTTCGTGGCGGCTGAGTTGCTGTTGTTCCCAGTTGCTTCCAGTTTGTTATAATACCACGAACAGTTGACTGTGGAATGTTTAGTTTTTGAATTCACTGAGCTCCTGAGAGTGACCCATTCTTTCACAAATGTTTGTAGAAGCAGTCTGCATGCCTAGGTGCTTGATTTTATACACCTGTGGTCATACAGGTGATTGGAACAGCTGAATCCAATTATTTAGAGGTGAGTCCCAATACTTTTGGCAATATAGTGTATGCACAATTTGCATTTGTGGGGTGCAAACTTTACATGAACTGCGCAGTTGCAATGTTGATTTTTATGCAATTGAAAATATGCACATGTGACTGTGAATTTTTTGCAGTTGCTAAATACAAAGTGTAAAATGTAACAAAAAAGAAAAAAAAAAGTACTAATACCATCTGACCAGAATGGGTCTAGGCTATTAAATGTCTGAAGGAATGGCATCCTTCAATACAACTTTGTTCTTTTTATATCACTGGGGGCAGGTTGGGAAATTAAAGGAGGAAGCTGGGTGATCGCTAGGAGCAACACCTATATTTCCCACCATTTTCATACATAGTGAGGGTCAGTGTTTTCATCCATGTGGTAAATGTTTTTGTGCATGTTCTTCCCTTTTTGTTACCTTAATTTTTTTTAAGGTCATCTCAGTTTTTTTGTATTTTCCAAAAACATGGCAAACATTCCCCTCCCCAGTAATGTACAGAAAACTATTTGAGAAACACTTTTTTTTTTGGTACCTGATTATATACAGTTACAATGTAGTGTGTATTTTTTATTTATTCTGCCCTTAGTGTAGTGTTACCGGTGGATTCACTTTTACAAGGACAGAAAGTGCTTTTTTTTTTTATCCATATTTAAAGAAAAAGTGATCACACACCTAAAGCTTGGGCAGCCATTTTGAGGACTGAAGTCTTGCTCAGCCAGTGGTTTATCTGTACTACCTCAGCCCACTAAGGAGTTTGTGCTTAAAACGGTTATAAATTACCAGTTTCCCATAGCAACTAGCTTCTCCCTGACGTACTTCTAGTGCAGAGTGGGAGATCCTGATTGGTGGTTGCTATGGGCAGCAAAAAACATTTACCTTTTTAGATACAAATGCAAAATTGGGTATAAAAGAGGCCGAAGTGTACTGTTCTGCATTGCTGACAGATTTAGTCCTTTGCTCATGTAAAGAAATGTCCGAAGGAAGTTATTGTTTCCCTCAGAAACACATTATCCCTCTTTATATCCTTCCATTCTGTCCTGCAGATATGAAAGTGGCATTCCAATTGTTCTGAGCAGCAAAAACAGTTCCCTCAAAGTTCTACACAGAAACAACATTCTTACATGAGACTCAAGATGGCTACCTAAGGTGCAGAAAACTGTTACCTCAATCTACATATACATGGTGTCAGTTTTCTGGGGTGGCCCATTTTTGCTAACTCTAATATTATTGAGGTATTAAGTCATATACCCCCTTGGGTGAATAAATAGGCTGCAATATCCAGGCTATTGCTTTACCATGCAAAATGGCCATCACTTCTAAGGTACCTGTATCAAAAGATGTTTTTAGGCCATATTTTAATTGTCTTTTGATAAGATAAATATTCTTTTTTTTAATTTTAAATGGTTTTCTAATGTCAAATGTAATTTTTATTTAGAAATGCACTCTTGGCAAAGCATGACTTAAGTCTTCCATATTGTAAAAGTGAATCCATCTCTCAAATTATGTCTTGTAATATACATCCATAAATGTACATATGTTGTCTTAGTTGTAATATTTAAACCTTTTGTTATACTTTTAAAAAATAAAAAGGTCAAATATATATGTAAAACACACTTTTTTTTTTTTTTTTTTTGCTTACGGCTTAAAATTATAACTCTGTATGATACTTTTAGACAGACTGCCAGTCTCGTTGTACCATAAACAAGTTTGCATCTGAAATGCCAAGACTGTAATAAAAATTGACTTTAATTTTAAAGCTGTTTCTTGTGTATTTTGAGGTGCATGAATTCTAATACATTGGAAATGTTGTCAAGGCCCACTATGGTGAAGAATACCGTATTCCAGTAACTGTATGGGTTAATTCCTGTAATGATTGACATGATTGAGCCTTTGAATTACATTAAGGGCCTGACTAAGGTTTAGGTGGACAGTATATTCAATATGAAGCTAAGATCAAGAGCACGGGGACATGGCTTCAAACCAGGGGCGGACTGACAACTCATGGGGCCCCCGGGCAATAGGGGATAAATGGGAACCCCTGTGTCCTTGCCCAAACTCAAAAAAGCCTATGAAAAAGGTACCAGGGGCATCTCATGGGGCCCCCTACTGACCCGGGCCCTCGGGCAGTGCCCGAGTTTCCAAATTGTCGGTCCCTGCCTCAAACTAGGAGGAGGAAAGTTAAAAATTAATCTTAGAAAGTATTATTTTACCAAAAGAGGAGTTGATGCTTCAAACTGACTTCTAATAGAGGTAGTGAGTCAGTCAACAGTAAGGTGCTTCAAACATGCTTGGGACAAATATACACAGCTCAAAAAAAATTAAAGGAACACTTTTTAATCAGAGTATAGCATCAAGTCAATTAATCTCTTGGAATATTGATCTGGTAAGTTAAGTAGCAGAGGGGGTTGTTAATCAGTTTCAGCTGCTTTGGTGTTAATGAAATTAACAACAGGTGCACTAGATGGGCAACAATGAGATGACCCCCAAAACAGGAATGGTTTTACAGGTGGAGAGGCCACTGACATTTTTTCCCTACTCATCTTTTCAGACTGTTTTTCACTAGTTTTGCATTTAGCTACGGTCAGTGTCACTACTGGTAGCATGATGCGATACCTGGACCCTACAGAGGTTGCACAGGGAGTCCAACTCCTCCAGGATGGCACAACAATATGTGCCATTGCCAGAAGATTTGCTATGTCTCCCAGCACAGCCTCAAGAGCATGGAGGAGATTCAAGGAGACAGGCAGTTACTCTAGGAGAGCTGGAAAGGGCCATAGAAGGTCCTTAACCCATCAGTAGGACCGGTATCTGCTGCTTTGTGCAAGGAGGAACAGGATGAGCACTGCCAGAGCCCTACAAAATTACCTCCATCAGGCCACTGGTGTGAATGTCTCTGACCAAACAATCAGAAATGGACTTCATGAAGGTGCCCTTAGGTCCCGACGTCCTCTTTTGTGTGCCCTGTGCTCACTGCCTGGCACCATAGAGCTCGATTGGTATTTGTCATTGAACACCAGAGTTGGTAGGTCCACCACTGGTGTCCTGTACTTTTCACAGATGAGAGCAGGTTCATCCTGAGCACATATGACAGACATGAAAGGGTCTGGAGAAGCCGTGGAGAATGTTATGCTGCCTGTAGCATCATTCAGTATGACCATTTTGATGATGGGTCAGTGATGGTCTGGAGAGGCATATCCATGGGGGGTTGCACAGACCTCCACAGGCTAGAAAATGGCACCCTGACTACCATTAGATATTGGGATGAAATTCTTGGACCCATTGTCAGACCCTACACTGGTACAGTGAGTCCTGGGTGCACAACAATGCCTCATGTGACGAGAGTATGCAGGCAGTTCCTGGAGGATGAAGGAATTGATACCAATGAATGGCCCCCATGCTCGCCTAACCTAAATCCAATAGAACACCTCTGGGATATCATGTTTTGGTCTATCCAATGACGCCAGGTTGCACTTCAGACTGTCCAGGAGCTCAGTGATGCCTTGGTCCAGAATTGGGAGGAAATACCCCAGGACACCATCCATCGTCTCATTAGGATCATACCCCGATGTTGTCAGGCATGCATACAAGTAAGTGGGAGCCATACAAACTATTGAGTACCATTTTGATTTGCTGCAATGAAATTTCTTCAAAATGGACTAGCCTGCTGCATCATTTTTTCAATTTTTGGGGTGTCTTTGAATTCAATCCTTTGTAGATTGATAATTTTAATTTCCAATGATGGGGTATCCTTAAGGAAAAAAGTTCTTAAAGTGATGGTAAAGTCCTTCATATATCACATTTTGGGAAAAAGGTGATAAGTTGCCACAAAGAGAAAGGATCCTCCACCAACACCATACACAGCCTCTTACCAGAGGGCAAGACAACAGGGCATGTGGTCTTACACAGTGTTTATGGTCAATCACATGGAAGAGTAGGACCAGAAAACTTCTCCATCTGAAGGCACCTCCACAGCTCACACCACAAAGGTTGAATTTCAAAATTGTGGTGTTTTAAGCATGAGAGAGAAAACATGGAACCATAGAGCTTCTCCACCAGAAGATAACTCCTCAGGCAATAACGTAAGATTATACTTCATTAGACCAACTCAGGATGTTAAGGTGCATGTAAAAGAAACAGAGGCTCCTCATGGCATAGTATTACAAAAAAGCAGTGTTTAATAGAACAAATACACTTACAAACCAACAGTAGTAAAAGCTTATGGGTTTGCTTATTGTTTCCAACCGACAAAATGACCACAGTACGTGGCACGATATCAAGGGACATAGCTCCATCCTACGTGTTTCATCACAAATGGCATCATCAGGGGTGTGGCCTCTGACATCCATTATGCCTTAAATAGTGCCAGAGCGGAAATGATCCACTCTCAGCTGCTTTCCACAGACTGGAACTGCAAGCTGAAATTGCCAAACCAGGAAGCAACCAAAGCCACCCAGAGAGATAATACAGCTTGTGCTCCAATTACAGAACCAAAAGTACAACAAAAGCAAAAACTGTAAAAAGCAAATAATTAACATCATCATGACTCAAATCATAACGATGACACAGAATATCTTAAATGACAGCTTGCCCTGCATAAGCCAAAAAGGAAAAAATCAAAAACAAGGTCAAGGATGACATCAATGGACAAATAACTAATTAGTATATAATAATTTGATAATATAAAAATATATGAATAAAAATGTTAAATGGCTGTAATTATTAGACATATATATATAGAGATAACCACGGATCATATAACTAATAACAGTTGGAAACCACATCAATGCAACGACATCTTGTGGTCAGAAAACAATATGCATACATGATAAAAAATATATGATACAAAATGATGAATAAAAGTAACAGCTAAGACATATATAAGCAAAAATAAAAATTAAAGTCCAAGAAAGAAAAATGTATATTAAAAAATTAAAATATGGACATCAGCCTATGCTTGAGAAGGGAGCATCACTTGCCTTGGCTTCGTGCATGCTCTGAAACGCGTTGCATTGTATGTTGGTCCTCTTCACATCATCACGCTGATGCCAAAATTGCGCTCCAAGGTGCGTTTCATCAGCCATCTGCTGAGAGACACACACACACAAGCCGACCGGCTCTCTCTCATCCAGAGTCTCCCCAGGTGCGGATCGTGCCTTACCCAGCGAGGACTTCTCTTGACACTTCAATATTGATGAGCCTTTTTAATTCTTTCACCATGTGAGTGATTTATTATTGTTCCGCATTAAATTTCCTTATACTGCACTTAGAGGCGCTTCTTTCTTTCTTACTGCGTTTCATCCAGAGCCTGCTACAGCTTCAAGAGCATGCCTTAGTGCTATGTGGATTTGCATACATTGAACTTTAATATGTGCATTTACTCGTTCTCTGGCACCTGATTTGGGGAATTATTTTGCGCTGATTTTTTTGTTGTTTTTTTTTTGTCAATGGACATATCGGCCCTGATTTACTAAGAATTAAGTCTACCAGCAGACGCTGAACATTCAGGCAGACTCAATTCAATCAATCAAGACCTGTCAGTCTTCAGAAAGGCGTCTAGCAAGCTCATTGTAGACTCTTTCCTGTTAGTAAATATGGAATCGCGTCAGGCACAGTTCTAGATGCAATGCTGGATATGTTCGCTAGGTGGCGCACAACTGAGTGCTTTGTCCCGTTGGCGTTTTTCTGTTTGCATATGAGAATACTTATAATTTAAAATAAAAATCACACCTATATTATAATTTTTTTTTTTTTTTTTTTTTTTGCTGTTTCTCCAAAAATGATCGGCCAACTAATGCATTTCCTAATGAATGTCATACATTCTATTTTCAAATGTCAAACATTTTCACACTTTTATCTCAAATAATTTGAATGTCTAGTTCTAATTTCCCAATATAATGATATATCTTCATTCTCTTTAATCATGTAACTATTCTACATTCCAGCTCAAACTCTGTCTCCTACAGTGGCTTAGGAAGAAGGGTCAGCCGCACACCGGAGGATAGATGAATATAGTGTGTATTTATTAATCCATAGGAGACATAAAACACCAGGATATGAATACAGGACTTGTTAATGCGTTTCACACAATCTCGTGCTTAATCATATCTCAATCTTTATGATTAAGCACGAGATCGTGTGAAACGCATTATCCTATCCTATCCTCCGGTGTGCGGCTGACCCTTCTTCCTATTGCATCTTGTGTGGTGGCGAGCCAGAGCCTGCACCTGTTGTGGATTGATCTGGATTGTTTGCCTGAGCAGTATACCTTTTTGTTCTTTCCTACAGTGGCTTAGTGGTTAGTACTCAGAACTTTCAGCACTTGGTTCATGGGTTCTAATCCCAGTCATGGCTGCACCTGTCTGGAATTTGCATGCTTTCTCTGTGCGGGTGTGTTTCTGCCAACACTCCAAAGACATGCTGTTAGGTTAATTGGGCCTAGTATATGTCTGAGTTTCTGGACTTATATTGTAAGCTCCTTGACATTTGTGAATGCCCAAAATATGGAGATCAAATTCCAGGGTTGTGTCAGTGCCAGGAATTTTGATCAATCAAAATTTTGGCTGCTAACTAGAAAGTGGAAAGGGAGTGAATCTTACCTGTGTCCTGTTCTTCTGACAAGTTTAAAACTTGAAACTTTGAAACGCCTATGAAAATCCTGCACATGGCAGCACACATTGCTGTTCACACTGAAGCGTTAGCATTGTGTCGCAGCAAAACTGGTGCCTCATGTCGTGTGAGGAGGAGTTAAGGCCTCCCATTCAAGTCTATGGTGCCGCTCCTCAAACGCCTGGCAGGCATTTGCGCTGCTGTTGCGATGTGGTTGCGAGGTGTTTTCGGAGCGTTAATACCATTTAACTTCATTACAGGCATTTGTGGTGCAGTTTTAATGCTTGGCAAACACCTATCAAATGCCTCAAAACCGTGCATAGGGCGTCTGGG